TTGTACTCAGCAATTAAGTTATTTGCTCCCTTAGAGAAATTTTTATAAACAGATTCTCACATTGGTATTCTTTTCAACTTATAAGCTTGGTCAACGATAAAAAGGTTGCACATAAGATTTATAAGCTAAACAGGACTCCCCAAAATTATGAAATATTCAGTCAATTAAGATCACAATGCAGAATTATATCTAGAGAATGCTATTCAAATTACATATATTCTGTTGAAATTTCTGTTGAAAGTAATGTAAAAGCCTTTTGGCATTTTGTAAGTACCAAAAGATCTAATAACACCATACCTGATAATATGAGCCTTGAAGACTCTTTTGCTTTTTGTAGCAGTGAATTATCAAATCTGTTTGCCTAGCATTTTTCATACCACATTCCTATTTTGACCATTTACAAGAAATTATCTAATCTTGAGATAAAGAAAGACCCAGATCCTGACATTATTTCTCCCATCCTACTCAGAAATTGCAGATTCGTATTTTCTCGCCCTCTCTTCCATATTTTCAATAAATCTATCGCCACGGGCGCGTTTCCAGATTATTGAAAACTATATACAATATACAAATCGGGCAGCAAGTCAGACGTCAAAAATTACCGACCTATATCTATTCTCAGTACTATATCTAAGGTTTTTGAGAACATCATAACAGACTACCTTACCTATGACTGCTCCGGCATCATAACGGATCATCAATATGGTTTTTGTGCTGAAAAATCGACTGAATTAAATCTAGATACCTACGTCGACTTCCTATCGGAAGCTTTGGAGAAGGATTGCCAGATTGATTCTGTGTACACTGACTTTTCTAAAGGTTGCTTTTCTCTCTTACTTTAAAAGTTTGATAAATATGGCATAAATGGGGTCGTTTTGCAATGGATTAGTAGCTATCTTACAACAGAACTGAAATGATTAGAGTAAACCATCACTATTCAAACTCGTTTTAAGTTGCCTTAGGTGTTCTTCAAGGATCACACCTTAGTCCCTTATTATTCAACTTATTTATAAATGACATCATTTATTGTTTTCAGTATGGCAAAGCACTATTGTTTGCAGATGGTTTAAAAGTTTCCCTAATTACTAATACCATTTATGATGCCCTCTGGCTTCAGTCTGACCATGAAAATATATTGAATTGGTGTTCATTAAATAGCATGGACTTGAATGCCATAAAGTTCCATGTCATGCGCTTTTATCGATCCCATGTACCAACTATGAAGACTAGAGGTAAGGAGGCGAATCGGCATGCTCAAAATCCGGTCCCATAAAGCACACGTCAATTGAGCTTTCATAATTAACCGCATGGGCGCTGGTACGGTTTACGTAGTTCAAAATACATGGCTTCTTATGGGAATTATAAATAATTTTGTCAAAATAATAAAAAAAAAACTTGTTTACAGCTAAATAAAGCACAGAATATACTGTTGTATTTATTTTTAAATAAGTCTTGCATGTTTTAATTGATAAATTATTTAATTTCATCTATATAAAATACAATTTTGGTATGTATGACCAAATTCGAAAAGGTTTCTTAATTGCTGAAATTTGATAAGTACAATTTTGTGGCACTTTTTTTTTTTTTTTTGAATTGAACCAATATATAGTTTTAAGAGTAAAATAAAACACAGTTAACAGATTTTTTATTGTTGTAATACAAGTATAAAGGGAAATTTGGGAATGTACATGGTATTACCTCATCCTTTAATTTCAGCTGTCCCCTTTTTATTTTGCTAACAGTACCATTAGTTAAAATAGTCTCATCAAATTTTAAAATATCATGTTCTAAAAAGTATAGCTGGCAAACAGAATCATAACTAGATAGTATTTTATCAGCCCTAGGAATCACATGCTGCTATTGTTCTAAACGTTTAGGATCCAATAAAAAATATTTGCAATGACTAAATTGGAGTTCAATAAAGAAAAATAACAGTTTAGTAACTCTTCATCTAACATCAAAAAACTTAAAAAACCAAATTTTCTTTTCTAGTAAGTTAAAGGACCTCGCAATAATCTTATGGAAATTGGGTTTCTGTCAAATTGTTTGAATTTTTGATATGTTGTAGATTTTGTCATCCTGAACAAGAGTCTCCATGGGCACAAAGTGGTAAAAAGAATATTTTGGCAGCTACGGAGCTGCCAAAGCTCCCCTAACCCGTTGCAAAACTATTCATTTTCAATACTATTTACAGATGTCAAAAGCATATTTTGATTATTCTAATATATAGGGTAATGTTTTTGAGATCACTGGATTCAACCCTCATGTCAGATTGGACAAATTGATCGTTGACAGCTGTCAATTCACGATCAACGACGAATATAAAAGTAAATATCCTCTTTTCACATTGACAGTTTGGGTTTTTGAGGTCGTTGACAGTTGACAGCTGTCAACTGTCAATTTTTCCAATTTGACATGAGAATTGAATCCAGCGACCTCAAAAACTTAAACTCTCAATGTGAAAAGAGGATATTTACTTTTATATTCCTCGTTGACAGTCAATTGACAGCTGTCAACGGTTAATTTGTCCAATCTGACATGAGAATTGAATTCAGCGATCTGTTACTTTTCAAAATGATCAATGACCAATGTAGCTGTACTGAACTTCTAACAAAAATAAATCTTTATGTTTCAACCCGTTCAACTCGACAGCAACAATCATTTTATATACCATTTTATAGTTTAAACCATACTTTTGGCAGCTGTATACCAAGAATGTTAAGATTAACCAATACTCATAACGATCTTGAGATATTTAACACCCCATTTCATAAATATATAAAGCAACTAATAGTAGTGAGCCTTCCATCTTTGATCTTCAATTTTTAATGTTTAATGTAATATTTTATTCAACCTTATTGTATTTTGTCTTTTTAAATATTTTAAATTCTTTACCTGTTTTAGTCTATATGTAATGAATTATATCACGTTTGTATTTCTGCACCATATATATTTCACTATATTTTAAAATTATAATTTATTTCTCAAATGGGCTTGCCCGTAAATAAATAAGTAATAGTAAATAAAAGAGTTATTTAAAGACAGTTACTTAAAAATGTCTGATTGAGCATCGAACCTAGACATTTCTGCCAGTTTTGCTTTTACTCAATCAGATTTCTTTGTTTATGTATATTTTTTTTAAACAAATATTAAAGTCGTTTTGGAGTACTCGCTTCAGTAAGCCTTTTTCGATGATAAAAAGAGTCCCACTGAGCCAAATTGCGACCTTACTACTAAAGATAGTTTTGATACTTCTTGCTGAGTAGTTCGACGTTTCTCTTTCCATCGTCGTGTCTTGTTTAAAACAAGATAGTTTTCTCAACATTAACTAGCATTCCTTTTCATAGTGCATTTTCTTTAGCAGACGTAGCCACCCTCTTTTTAATCGGAGACCTCGACCAACACCTCTATTACGCTTCGAAGGTTATAAAACGACAGTTACTTTTATCCGCGTTACTCTTATGGTACTTTTATCAGGTACCACAGTTTCTTCCTGTACAGTTGCTTGCACGGTTTTTCGATCCTAGACAGTTTACCCGAACTGCGTGTATTTCCCATTCAACCGCAATTGCAGTACCTGACAGTCTTCGTCTGCTTGTCAATACAATACTTGTAAATTAATTGATCGAATTTATTTTATCATTTGTTTTCTTCTACAGTCATTAATTACTTCGCGGTATCCACTAGACGCCAGCGTAGCTGTTTCAAATTTAAGAGCAGTGGAGAAGACATCGACTTATGTTTGTAAAGAGCAACCAGAGTGTTAATTGCATTTTGTTGTCAAGGAGTCGATCAACAAATGCTTGAACAGCCAAACATTCAATCATATTATATTCTGTAGCTGATGAGTGAACAATTCGCAAATTCATGGCAATGTCTACGTCGTATTCTTGAAGAGTCTTCGCTCGTTTTTGTTAACGATTCTTTAATTGTGTTTAATACAAATACTCCAATTATTTGTGGTCATATCGCATGTTTATTTTTTTTAAGTTGTTCAAAGTCATCTGTATCTTTTAGAGGTATAGTCTGAAGAACACCTAAAGCGTTTCAACGGGCGATGGTTAAACTTACTGCCTTCTCTCCTTCATGCCATTTATTTGCTCTGGCAGGTGTTTCGAACTGTTTTAAGTAAGTGGTTGAGAGTTGGAGCTTTAACGTAGCTTACAATTCCTTAAAATTTTATCTTTGACTCCACCTCATAGCACTTTATTTCATCTTTATTGGTCTGTTCTGTTTTCTCCATATCTTCTATCTTCTTTACCATTTATTTATTGTCTTTTTAACAGAAGAAATTTCATTTCTTATAGAAGAGATATCAAAAGAAAATTTATTTTCCACAGAAGCGATTACGTTTTTTTTTTCTTATAAATCATGTCGGAAGAAATTTCATCTTTTAAAGAAGATAACTTATTTTTCAAATCAGAAGAAATTTCGGTTTTTAAAGAAAATACTTTAATTTCCAAAATTGAAAAATTAAAAGAAACTTTAGTTTTTTTAAATGGAAGACATTTTACATTTCAAAGAAGACTCATCATTTTCTAGTTTCCGACGTAACTCCTTCAGTTTTAAATCCCTCAGCTTTTAGCCATTTTTACTTACCCAACACCAATGTGACGTGTACTTACTTTAAATAGTTTATTTAATTTATTTTTACGCTTATTTGCTAATTTATTTGTACTTAATAGTAATTTATACAGAGCTTTACTTAAATACTAATTTATGTAAACTCTGTCACAGCAATACAATTTTATTCATTTATATAAAAAGGCTCTAGAAGTTGTTACCAAAAATATTTTGCTAAAAGTTGCAATTTAGTATCTTTCATCGAATATTCTACTGTGTTCTTAACTGTTGATCAGTATTCACCATTTACCATTTTAAATAGAATACAAAACTTTTAACATTTTATTTATAAATATGAAATAATGGTATTTTTAACAATTGACTACATTTTTTTGTTAAAAATATATAAAACTGAAGTTAGCGCAACTGTTGCTTACCTTCAAAGTGTCCTTTTGCTCTTGTAGTTCCTGTTCGGCATTGTCGCTCGTCGAAATATCCGACGCTAAGTCGCAGGTAACGGTGGGAATGGCCATCGGCGGTTGATGGGATTCGATGGTCGCTATCTGGCCTTCCGTATCCCTAGGGGAATTATTACTATTTCTATCTACAATTGAACCTCCTGCTGGCGTTTCGCAAGGCTCGGGAATTCCGTTTTTGCCTCCCTGTAAACAAGAATGATTCAATTATGAAAAATATTTGGAAATACGAGAATAAGAAGGTTATCCATATCCAAATGTTATGTCCGTAAAGAAAAGGAAAAACTAATTTTTTTGAATTAGAAACAGGGCTTAAATGACTAGTTTTGGTCGCAAAGTTTATAAGAAAGAGTATGTTGAATGAACATTTGAAAAATTGAAAATTTATAAAAAGTATTAAAACATTATTGAATATTTATTAAACATAAAAATTAACAATATTAAAGAACATGAATAATAGGCCATGTTCACATGTGAGATATGCTGTTTTATAAATTATATTGTAATAGTTAGTCGCTATACAAGTTATTCTAAATAGTCAGTTCGTTAAAAAAGCCAAAAGTTTTTAAATTAAGCCCAATTGAAATTTAAAATTTGAAATTATACGTCATCGGGAATAGACCAATCATCTTGTGTCGAAGTTTTTTTTGTTATACAAAACCAAGCCAACGAACAAACCAACACACAGAATGTCGAAGTGAACGCACATCTAAGTGACATTAAAATTGACACCACCTAACATCAGTAACATCTAACCTTAGTTTTTTGTTTTGGTTTAATTTTATTATTAATATGAATCAGCTGGATTTATAAAAGTTGAATCAAATGTTTTACCCATTGTAAACGAAAATATGATTACTGCATTTTTTAACAATACTCAGTTTACAAAAGTCACAAAGGTAAGACTTTGTTTTAATAGTAGGTAGTTACAGTTTATATGGAGCAAGTAAAACATATTTATCTCAGGTTTTATTTTTAGATCTGCCAAGCAAGAATATGGGGATAATTTCTTTTTCCATAAGAGGGAAGGAGACAAATTACACCTAAACATAAAGTACGGCAAAAACCTTCTGATGTGGTTGCATTGTAATTAACAAAAATGAAATTTTTAGTGCACAATATGCTTAGGATATGCTGCATGTCAAGGTTTGTAATATTTATTATGCTTTTTTGTTTTTATATTACATATAATAAACAGTGTATAAGGCCCTTTATTCCTATAAATATTTTTTTTCTAATTTTGACATATAGACATTTTTTGTAATCGCAGCAAGTGTTAAAATAATCTAGAAACAGATTTTGTTAGTGAACCTAGTAATAATTATGATACCAAAGAATGCTGCAGAGCACCTATGAAATTTTGAGTTAAAAAATATGCCATATTTTTAGGCTATTTTTATACCCTTTTCAAAAATTTTATGCTCCTCGTTTTTTGCAAAACTTAAAATGCTCTATAGCTTCGAACGAAGTCAGCAAAGCACCTCTGTTGTATAAAGTTTTTTCTGTAAAAACAGCAACACCATATATTTATGCACTTGAAATATTATATTTTTAAAAATACATGGTGCTTGCTAACCTTCGAAAGAAGCCAGCAGAGCAATTCGGTTTTTTAAAGCTTTTTTCTAAAAACCACACCCCATTTTTAGAATATTTTTAGACTCTTGAAATATTGTAAAACTTTACTAAAAAAATTGCTATTTTTAAATAATACAGGGTGCTTTGTTGGAACAAAGTCAGCAGGACACTTCAGTTTTTTAATTTTTTTTTTTATATATAAAAACAACTACTTATGACACATGTTTAGGCTGTTTTAAAATCCTAAAAATGTAGTAAGTACATTTGTTTTCAGAAAAAAACTTTGAAGTCAGCAAGGAATTGCGAATTTTTTTTAAAATGCCAAATTTCGAATATTTTATAATATTGTAGGAGCCAAAAAACGTGGTGTGGTTTAAAAAAAAACTGGAGTGCTCTGCTGGATTCGTTTGAAGCTAACAAAGCATCCCGTAATTTTTTATTTTATAATACTCAATAGCCTAAAATGAGACATAGCTGTTTAAACAAATTGTATTTTTAAAAATAGCAGTTTTTTTCGAAAAGCTCTATAATATTTCAAAAATGTGAAAATGTGATGAGATTGTTTTTTTTTAAGTTTTGAAAATTCGAGGTTCTTTACTGGATTCGTTCAGAGCTAGTAAAGCTCTGCTCGTCTTGTTACATAAAATAAAGGCATTTTGTAGCTGGTTATATAGTTATTTTGTAACTGCATATCTATCAGTTGGTTGTAAATATGTGGCTTCATAGAAGAAGTGAGGAACCATCTGTAACATCTATTCAGTGTTATTGGAAAGGCTCTAATTTATCAAAATGCGTAAATATTGATGTACACTTGGCTAGATTGTTAAAGAAACCTCTTCATCCACTACAGGAAAATAAATCAGTACTTTTATATTCTTAGGATTTGTATATATATTTTTTTTTACTTCATTTTTCTCATTTTTTATTAAAAGATTAATAAATAAAATTTTCACAGATTTTTATATTTTTGTTTGTAAACAATAATTGAAGAGTTTTTATTAAAAATCACCAATGTTAATAATAATAATTTAAGTCAATATTATTCTTTCTCCTTTTTTAAAGCTACTATCAATAAAGGTATTACTTGCTTGACCTATGATCAATTTTTAAATTTTGTGATATATTTGGTTCAACAGAAAAAAAATTATAACCCTTTGACATTGGTTGTTTTTACTTAGATTTTCATAAAAAATAAACGGAACTGCAAACATGTTTCACTATCATAATAACGAATAGCAACATAAAATTATTTTTTTACATTTATCACTGTTGTCATTTTCATAAAGGATTGATAAGAAGGCACACTTTCTGGTTTTTTGAAAAAGGTAGCAAGAATTGTGATATTTTTAAATTTATCACCAGTGATACCACATGTAGTTACCCGATTTATTGGAATATATAGACTTTGCTACCACATTCAACTGAACTTGGTTGTTTTTAATATTTATCACTGTGACATTTTTGTCAAAATGTTTCATTTTAAACTGCTGTAAATAGGTGCCTTTGTTTTGGTAGTTTTAGTCCCAAAAAAATCTATGCATATACAAGTACTCATTCCTCTTTGATTTGTTCGAAAAGTTAAAATTTTATAAAAAATTACATTGGCTGTTTAAAAACTCATTATAATCCCTGAAATGTGATAATTAGGTAAATTAAATTAAAAAAACAAACAAAACAAAATTATTAAATTAATATTTACTCTTACAAAATAGGTTCTTGTAAGTTAACAAGCAATTATGCAGATATTACTAAGTAAATGTACTTGCTTAAAATTCACACACGAATGTGGTTTTAACTTGTTAAATTAACTAACCCTTCTTATAACTCTTTCCACATGTATTCTTAGAGATGCTATTATTTTACTTAATTGTACATCTTCTGGAGAACTTTTTTCATTCTGTGATACACTAGGTGTGGCTTTACTAAAGTGCATCCCATGTTTTCAAGTAGCTAAATATTCTGAAACCCCTATCTGCCATTATATGGGATCCAGGAACCAGTTTGTTTAAATACCCACATTTTTCTATTATTTCTTTATCACTAGTTCTTCCACAAAATGATGAATAAATTCGGTATCTTCAAAACTTTCAGGAGATTCTGCATTTTCTTCCAGAAGGGTTTTTAGGTTATACACCTAAGAATTTATAGTAGCCTCATTTTCAATTTCCTGAAGGGGACAATTAGCAGAAATTGCTGCTACATCTTGATAATCCGGTGTATTTTTATTAAAAAGTTTACGAGAAACATCGCTAGTAGAAGGTTGATTTTCTTCTTTCCAAATTTCTAGGAACACTAATAAATATTTTTGAAGATGAATGTGAATCATTATCACATTCTGGAACAAAACACTTTTTCGTAGTCATAATATTTATTTATAAAAAGTACAAAATAAACACTCAAATTCCAAATAAATTATTGATCGAGACACTATGACATATTTGATATTATATATTTAAAAGATATTTGTTTAACGATGTTTTAGAAGTCTAAAAGTAAGAAGGAGTACACAAACGAACGTACATCACTTCTCGTAAACCTTCTAGCCGGCAACGTTGTGCGCTAGCTCCTATTGGTCTATTCCCGGTGACGTCATAAATTTTAAAAAAATTCATAACTCCGGCAAATGAATAGATAAAAAAAAAAATAAAAAAAATGTAGTTTTATTTTTAACTCTACTATTCATAAAAAAAAATTCAAAATTTTTGAACATGCCCCATTAGGAAGAAAATCACAACTGAGCTAAAAAAATTATTGAATGTAAATAGCGAGTAAAATATCAAAATATTTATGTTTAATGATTTAAATATTGCTTTTACTAATTTAATAATGCGTATCTTATTTGACTTTCTATAATTTATACAGGGTGGTCCTTAAGTAATTGTATATAAAAGTATGGTAGATTCCTCACTTTAAAATATTACGATTTAAACCACACTGTATAAAACGATTTTTAAACTGCATTGGGTAACATTTGTTTAACATGTTTTTTCTTATAGTCACTTTATCCCTGTGTCTATTAAAACATTTTGCTTCGTCAAAGTTTATTGGATTCCTATATTTTATTCAACGGGTTGTAAATATTTTCTCAGAATATTCATGTTTAAATCCTACTTCCTCTAAAATCACTAAATTTGTTATTACAGTAGATAGAGCGGCACTTGACTCCACTTTTATCGACTTCTATCAAAATTTAGGGAAATTTGAACAGTAAATCTGGCAACACCGAAACAAAAGAATCAGTGGTAAGTATAACCAATTATTCCACAGAAACTTGTCACTAAATGTCAAAGCCGCTTCTCTAGTACAGCTTTCTGATCGACAAATCCCTTAAACAGTGAGGTTACTTTTTGTTAAGAGAAACATAAATACAACGTTGTCACTATTTTCAGGGTTGAATATGGAGATGGAAAGCTAAAAATAGACAAAGACAACGACGCCATGGCATGACGGGGCATAACCAATAATGTAGTTCCATGGCAACTATTTATGTTTGAAAATAAGGTAAGACTCAATGGCAACGCTGTGCGTTAGTAAATAAATATAAGAGGTTCAAAGGTTAACGTGGTAACTAATTGAATGCAAACAAATAGACAGAGGCGAGAACAGTGGGGTTCACCTGGAGTTTTCCCTTCATTCTCCCCCAGAGTCGTCATATGGACTATGCTAACATACAGTATAGTTATCTGGATAACAAAAACCTAACATATGATAGCTATCAGCAAACTAGAACAAATTGAAGAAACTGCATCAACCAGAGCCACGAAGTCATTTTTAGTACCACTTAACTTGATATTTTCATCAAGGAGGTTGCTTTGATGACGATGACATGGGTCTGCACGGTTGAAATAGAACCTGATGTAGGGTCTGGTGAGGCCAGACGTTGCTTTTGGGCGGAAGGAGCCATGTACGCTTTCAATGCTTTAAGTAAACATACATTTCATCTCCATAAGTCATATAATGTTGTAACGAAATAAATAAAAGAACCAGGAGTTACAGATACGATTCCTATCTACACCAACGACGGTACTAAAACAAAACAAGGCTCAGGGTGTGGATGTAGAATATACTTCAGAACCTTAAAGATTGGCTGTGGACAATAATGCCAGTATAGTTCAAACTTCAAATTCTTATAGTTGCAGAAGAAATTACCAGAAACAATATTACTCCAACTCACATCAGATAGCAGACAAGCAATACTAACCCTAAAGAGACCTTGAATTTTCTCAGGGATAGAACTGGAATATCAAGAAGCTTTGACCGAAGTATCAGTCAAGAACGTTATCACATTAAGATTAATCAATGGTCACGCAACATTGAATGGTACCAATTTTGATTATTTATTAGCCAAGAAGTCCTCCAACCAAATACGTTTTAGATCTGGCTTTTCTATTGGACTGACAATATCGGTAGTAACAAACCCACTCTACACAAGTTACAGATAGAGAAATGCCGTGGTAATCAAATTTCTGAATGTTATAGATACAGATAGATAGAAGCGGTGACGCCACATTACGATGGGGCTTGGAACAACGTCAACGACGATGTTAAATGGCAACGCTGTCTCTGCAATTTCCAGTTACGATAAAATGTTTTTGAACTACTGCAAATTACTATAGTAGAGGAGACCGTGGAAGGTCGACCTTTACCCATGAGGCATATTTTTTATGAAATTATATTAATTTATTAACACGCCTATGGGAACTTGCCATTCAAAAAGTGTTCATGGCAATTTTTAATTAAATAAATTTTATTCAATTTTTTTATAACCTTCACTTTTTTGATAACCAAACAAATTTAATTTTAACAGATAGTTTTTAACATGGAAAATATGCCTCAGTAGGCTTGTTTATTTATTTCTGTTCTTGACTACCTAGCAAGCATGTATGAACAGGTAAGTCAAAAAAAGTACCTACACCGATATGTCAACCAATAAAACTCAGAAGAAAAATAATTTAATTACGAAAATAATCGTCTAGGCTTGCCTGCAAAAAATTGTTCATGGAATACTTATGCCTTGTGTTATTTAATTAAAAATAGCCATGAAACTTTTCGAATGGCAAGTTCCCATAGGCGTGTTAATAAATCAATAAAATTTCATAAAAACTATGACTCATCTGGTTACTAATTAAATAGGGGGAAAATGCCGTTAGATAAATTTATTTCAGAATATGATCCAACAGTGCATTTTGGTATACGTTTCTAGGTTAAATACTTACTGCAACAAGTCGGAGATCAGTACATTTCTATCTGTTGAACAATTGTAATAAAAAAAAGTATATGGATATTTTCATTGAAACATTTCGTATCGAGTCAGTAAATATATTTCGTAAATGATACTGTGTATATAGGATGACGTCACTGCTCTGTCTATTTATTTGTATTTAATTTCTATGTTCAAACTTGAAAATAGTGATAACGTTGTATCTAAGACTAGAGATAAGGAGGCGAATCGGCATATTTGAAATATGGTCTCAAAAAACGAACGCTAATTGAGCATTTGTATTTCACCTCAAGGGCGCTGGTGCTAGTACTGCTGTTCAAAATATATGTCTTCTTATGGGTTCATGGGAATTTTACATAATTTTGTCAAAATAATAAAAATAAACTTGTTATTGCCAAATAAAGCAGATTATATATACACTGTTAAATGTATTTCTAAATAAGTCTCGCATGTTTTAATTGATAAATTATTTAATATTATCTATATAAAATGCAATTTAGGTAGGTATGACTAAATTCGAAAAGGTTCGTTTAATGGTGAAATTTGATAAGTACAAATTTGTGTCTAAATGTTTTTGAATTATACCTAAATATAGTAGAAAAGAGCAAATTTAAACTCAGTTAATAGATTTTTTATTGTTATACTGCCGTGCTAAAGAAGAAGGTCGTATCTACAGTTTCTGTTTTTTTAAGAAAAAACATGATTTTATGAATAATATAGTTTTTTTTCTGTAAAACTGCAGTTAGCACCATTTGTGTATAACATAACGAAAATAGTTGAGAATTATTTTTAAAAAGTTTTGAGAATTTTCAAGGTCACACATCTAGGAAAATGCAGATACGACATTTCTCTTTAGTTTTATTTATTATTATGTTAATAAAAATCGTCACATCTGTCAAAATAATATATTAAACTCTTAAAATATAATACACATTAAACATAGTTAGTCAGGTAATAACTACACTTAAAATTTAGTTATTCACTTAATTCTAATTATTCTAAATCAACGTTATCCTCGGTTTCTTCAAGATTTTGTCCAAAAAAGCATTCTGTTTTTTGAAACCAGACCTTGAATATTATTTAAAATATTATTTTTTTTTTTTTGATATTCCCCCTTTTCCATATTTCTGTAATAATAAATTTAGATATTCAAAATCTTCAGAAAAGGATGATTTAAATTTCAAACCTCTTTGCCCCCTTTAAAACTGAACAAACATCATATCCTGCAGATGAAGCCTGGGATTTATTTTATATATATTGTGATTTTAGATCTGGAAAGGTATGAAAGCTATTATTGTCCATTTCTTTGACAATTACTTTTTTTTTTTAAATTAGCTGGACATAAAAGTGTGCCCGGTCTAAATATATTTTAGATTTAATTCTTTTAAATTAATTTCGTTTAAATTAATAACGTAAGTTAGAAATGAAAATAGGCCCCAGTTCTTATTTTGTGCAGCGCAATAATCTTACCATATTGTTACATTTTTTGCATCCCTAATAGAAGCTAAAAAATTATAAAACGTTGAAATGGTTTTTTCTGTGATTTTCCTAGAGGCACAAATGTTTCGTTAAATGCAATAACTCTAGTTATACAGATTATTTCCTTAAACATCTCGTATCTGGGAAGCATAATCACCTGAAATTAGAAATGGCTATTTAGTAATAAATATGACAAATTAATAATATCATTACCTTTTGGAGATCTGCTGAAACATATAAACCATCCCTTTTGCAACTGTCTAGTTTATACTCTTTCCTTGCCTTTCGATATCCATCTTTATGCTTTGAAAATGATGTGCACACATCACTGTCTCTGGAATTAATGTTTTTTGATGCCCTGTTGACATGCAGTGAATTCTAAATGATTCACAAACAAAACATTCCTATTTGAGAATGAATTGCTCATACGCGCCACCCCTTTTCTGTAGAGTTTATAAGAAATATTAACTTTATGTTGTAGCAAAAAGTTTTTATGCATTGCCCTTATTGTAATATCACTTGGTAAGTACTTTCGTAACGGAGCATGTTCCCGTCTATAATGAGAAATTGTAGGTCCAAAACTTTCAAGATGTTTTCTACAATGATTATTCTGTTTTGGAACAATGGATGTTTTTTCGTTTTTTAGGGTGACATTTCTAAGGACACGATCGTTTTTCAGTTCATATCCTAATGTTGCCAAAATAAACTTTTTGCAAACCTACTGATTATTTCCGATCTCATCAGGTAAATAATAAGACACAGATCTATTTTTTCTAGCTTCCTCAGCACACACTATTTGTGAAATTTTTTTAACACTTGTGTAATATAAAAGCACGCCTCTCGTTTTTCTTCATATTTCAAAATTCTTGATTAATTAGTTCCTATCGCTGTGCACTGATTTTTTAAATACATTTCTTTTTACATGTTTCACCACAGTTTTCTTTAACAAAAGAATGTTTTTGTCTTTTCATGGATAGTCGCATTTTTGTTCTTGTTGCCAGAGAAATGTCATACCGTTTTCCTTTTCTTAAAGTTCCTTTGCTTCGTATGCATGTCGCTATTTAATTTGGTCGAAGCATTTTCAACAATTTTATCTTAGATTTGCTTTATTTCTTTTTGAGTCTCTCTCTGTCTTATTATCGTCAAAGGTAAATTGTCTTCTTTAGAAAATTCGATTTCAGTTATTTTAATTTCAGAAATATCTGAATCAGAAATCCTCACTAGACCTGGATACAACGAAATCTCGATCTTTAATAGAATCATCGCTATCTTTCAAGACATTATCAAAATAATTATTTTGTTCTGTCTCCATGTTATTATCTAGAATATTTTGGTCTTTCTCTATGTAAACATACGAATTCTTTTGTATTTTCTGCATGTTAACGTCCAAGTTATATTGCTTTTCTTCCATATTATCTGAAATATTTGTTCTTCTTTTATGTTAACATCCGAATTATCTTGTGTTTCCTGTTTGTTAACATTCAACACATATTGTTTTTTCCATGTTATTACCTAAGATAGTTTGTTCTTTTTCTATGTTAACATCTGAATTATTTTGTTTTTCCTGTAAGTTAATGTCCAGATTATAATGATTTTCTTCCATGTTAGTAACTGAAACAGTTTGTATTCTTTCTGCATTAACGTCCTTCTGTTCATCCTGTAATTAAAAAAAGTGTTTAAGATTTATATAAATACCATATTACAAAAAACGTATTTTTTTCACCATCAATAATATTGCCTATGTTCAACCCAATAAATCAGAGACAGCTAGCGCTGAAGCGCTTACAGTATTGTGATTTTCTGATATATTTCACCGTTCCGGATCTTTTGGAATGCAGTGATATTTTTAATTTGTTTGTTTTGAAATCTTAACATTCATCTATCCTTCAATTTTAAATAAACTGATGCTGAAAGCGCTTGAAGCGATTCATTGGGTTGAACACATGCATCGATTAAATCAGCATAAAAAACAAAATATAAACAAGCACTTTATTGTATGTTCTCTTTTTAAATTTCAATAAAATTTATATTAAACTTACCTTTATGAACGTCAGTAACATCTGACCTGCCAACTACAGTCAATTTTGCGAACCTTATAAAAAGAAGGGCAAAAATTTGAAATTTAATCATTTCCGATTCGCCTCCTTATATCTAGTCTTCATAATGGTACCTGTCAAAGGGATCTATCGATGTGAACGCTGTAATAAATCATTCATTTCTGGGAAATTATTGGCTATCATTACTTTATGCGGTGCGGTGTTGTCAGATATACAAATTTCCACAGATCTGGAAGAAAATCAATAAAAGTGTCACTTTATCTACTAATTACACATCTGAAAATAAGATTTTGTTTTGGTGTTCTATCGTAATTCTTTGTGTTTATAATAAGATTTGTCTTTAATTAGGACGATGTCAAAAATAAATCAACCAATACTCGAAACCAGTTGTTTAAAGCAATGATGATCATTGAAACAACCCAATAGTTGAAGTTATGGTGAGGATAAGTAATAGATAAGAAAATATAATAGATTTGAACAATCCATACTTTTTTCGCACATGAATATTGCGAAATGGAAGAATATGTTCGTCTAAATCAGATGTGATATTATCGTAGAGCATTATTTTTTATTTTTCACTGCTTTTAAATTAATAGCACATACATGAATGTCTCAGGTATGAAATGATTAAAACCATTCTTATTAAATTCTCAACACCTTGTATAATTTGTACTACACACGAACTGGTTAGGACAAACTCTGAAAGCCGCTGATATGTCGGACGTGCCTGTGAATAATATTTTCGGGCGGAATTGACTTCAGAACTTTGTTCATATATGCATGTAGGTGAAAACCAGAGACGTCTCTTGAGATAATAGTGCCTCGGGACTGCTTTTGCCGAATCTCGGTACTTAATATGAACGGTGTGTGCAACGTGCAAGCGGAATTCTAAACGTGTACCTACTGTTCGAAATTCCAAATCAATTTTGATGCTAACACTGGAAAACGTATGTAAGTCGTTGCAAGAGTGTTGATAAGTTTGTATAAAATGAAAAGAAGAACGTTAATTGAAATATTATTGTAAGGGGTGTAAAAAAGGTTCAATCATAAATTATATCGATTAGATTTAAATGAAGACCTAAAAGCAACCATGGTACATTAAATATAACTGAGTTTTTGAGTAAGTTTTTATCTAAATACTAAAAAAAAAGAAAAACGTCTATTTGAAAATTTGCAATATTTCTTCGAAGTAGCTGTGCCAAATTTGTAGGAAACTGGATTATCTGAATCCCAATCTTTAGTTTATAATTAAGTTTATTTTAGAGGACAGAATTTAAATCGCAAGCATCCGAGTATCATTATAAAGATATTCAAACTATATATTATAAATTAGTCATTTTGTCAATTATTTTTAATTTTTTTAAATGTTTGTTTAATTACACACATCAAAAATATATAATAATTTTTATTTGGCTAGCAATAATAAAACTGTATTTTTATTTCATTTTCATAACATATTAATAATAATGTTTATTCAAATAATGATACACCAATATTAATACATACAATTAAAAAAAGAGAATAAAAGAAGGTAATCACAGAAGCAGTTTAAAACTTCTTGTACGTGATAAAGTACATATACATAACACATGATTGATGATAGACACATAAAATATAAAACGGGTCTGTGTATATGTCCCTATAAAACCCAAGATAGAACAAAAATGAATTTAAATATTAAAAAAAAAAAAAACATTTAAACATTTAAAAAACCTATTAGAAAAATCTGAAAAAGTTAAAAAATATAAAATAAATCTTTAAATTAGTATACAAATAATAATTAAATTATAAATGGACATACAGAAATAAAAAAAAATGTTTTTCTACGAACTCTTACAAAAAGACATCTTTCGCCACAGGATACTTTCAGCTAAAACTTGATTTCCGTCACTAGTGAGAAAAAATCCCATAACGTTTACTTTCGTCTCTAGTGACGAAAGTAAGTTGTTACATATTTGCATATATCAGTCGCCTCGTATAATATTTTGGCAGCTTATAATTATTAATAATGAAATAAAAAGATGCTCATTAAATTCTATATGCGTTTTTACCTAAACTTAAATGAATTAAAGATAAAATAAAAATGTATAAAAATAGTGCAAATTAAACCAATCTACATCTAGTTTCCTGGTTTTCATTTGTTTATTTAAAGTTTTATCACTTTTGAGAACTGCCAGTTTCAGTTCGTCCTAAATTTAACACATTTTCATGATGTCTGAGTCAGAAAGCGATTGTACTCCCCCAGAAATTATTTTTAAAGCTGAAGAAACCTCTTCAGATTTATTACCGACCAAATCAAAAAAGAGATATGAAGAAATTTATATCAAATTTTTGGACTGGAGAGAAAAAAATAAAGTGAAATAATTTTCGGAAACTGTACTACTAGCATACTTTGGAGAAATATGTTCAAATTTTAAACCGTCGACGTTATGGTCCATTTATTCGATGCTAAGAAATACACTCTCTGTTAAAAATGATGTCGTATTAGTAAATATCCAAAGTTACGTTCGCTTTTGAAAAGAAAATCTGATGGTTTTAAAAGCCAAAAATCCAAAAATTTTTCGCCTGAAGACATAAAGACTTTCCTAAAGAATGCACCTGACTATAAATATTTAATAACAAAGGTAACGGAATTATTATTTTTATTTTAACAAATACTTAATACATAACTACTAATATTTGTAGGTAGCATTAGTTTTTGGATTATCTGGCGCTTGTCGTTGCCACGAACTAAAAGATTTAACAATAAGCGATGTAAAGGATACTGGAAGTATTCTGTTAGTTAAAATCCGTAATTCAAAAACAAAAGTTCCGCGTTCTTTTCATATTTCTGGACCCTTTTATGATATTTCTAAAAAATATATGAGCCTACGTCCCGCAAACATGGATCAAATTAATTCAAGATTCTTTATTAACTATCAGAATGGAAAGTGTAGCAGACAGGTTGTTGGAATTAATAAAATCAGTAAATTTCCTAACGAAATTCCACTGTTTCCGCAGAACATTAGCAACGCTATTAGTGGATGCAGGAGGTGACTTGCTTCTGTTAAAAAAGCACGGTGGTTGGAAATCTAGTAGTATTGCGGAAGGATATGTTGATGAATCCACGAACAGTAAAAACCAAATACCAATCAAAATTTTACAATCTGTACAAAATAAGGAAACTAGTAGTTCATCCGATTATAGCGCATCATCATCATCTGAAATGACATTTAACAGTAGAACAAATATGTCGGCATCTACCTCAATAAATAATAAGCTTGAGTGTGATACCCCCATAATTTAGAACAATTGTTCAAATATAACAATAAATCAATATTTAAATAATAAATAATATTTCTGAATTATTTAATTGTTGGTTAATTTTTTGTTATTCCTAACACAAAATAAAGCATTTGCTAACGTTTGTTTTTTTTGTTTCATTTTTAGTAGGTACCTACATGACATAATAGAGTTCGTAGAAAAAGTATAGTGTTTTACTCGTCGAAAATAATTTTCGTCACTCGTGAAACAATATACTATTTTTTTTTACATAATTATGATAGTCTTCAATGAATTATTATTGTGTATAGTCGAAATAGGAAAATTAAGACTGATTTGACTGATTTAAAACATCACTTGCTAATTTACGTTCTTTTTGAAGTCATATTTTTAGTCTAATTTTGTATCTACTGTACAACGAAATGTACTTCATTTTTTAAAGTATCAAAATAAAGATTCTAGGAGCCAGGTAATCACTACATCTTTGGCTGATACTTTTTTCTGCTCAAGGAAATAAAATAGCTTCAGGTCGACGTGTATTGTAGGGATGGGCATGAAGTTTTAACGTAATTTTAGATTTTTTCAAAAATAATACAATTTGTAAAAAGTATAGCTGGCTCATATCATAAAAGGTCTTTACAAAAACAAACCACATATTCCTTAGGCCAAAATAAGTCGATTTAAGTAAAATTACCTTAGTACAAAGTTGCTTCGTTTGGGCTCCAGAGGGCCTTGAAGTTACAATTTTTAAATCGATTTTCCCATATAAATTTAAAACAGCATATGCGATTTTGCTGAAATTTGGTATATTGGTAGAGTTTTATGGGGCAAAAAAATGATATTAAAATTTTGTACGATAATAATACATAGGCGTAGAACTTGATTTTTAAATAATTGCACCTTTAAAAATTCTACGCCAATGGAAAAAAAGGAGTTTGAGTATGAAATTTAGATTGCGCAACTCATTTACTTTAAAAAAGGTACTCTTGATAAGACTCGATTATTCTCATGGTTTTCGCTAAATTTCTGTTTTAATAATTAAGAGTGTATAGGTTTCACAAAAATATTTATTTACAACATAATCAAAATAGAGATTTTACAAACATTTTTTAAAATGTTCACCATTTTCACGCATACAAAGATTTATACGTCGAAGAAAATTAAAATGTATCCTCTTCATAACTTCTTCATCACCTCTTAGATTGTTTATTGCATCTTGAATACGTTGCCCAGAGTTGTTCCTCATTTTCTACAGGTTCCCTGTAAACTGTGGATTTCAGATGTCCCCATAAAAATTAATCCATCGGTGTTAGGTCTGGGGAACGTGGTGGCCAGTTTA